CACTAATTTTTCTCTTTATGATTTGTGTTCTCCTAAAGGACTTAGACATTATGATGGTTGCAAATAGATATGCATGTTACTGTTTGCAGTTGGCTCATTGATATATTATCCCAAATTTAGTAGAGCAAGGATTTCAGTGCCCATAACCACCATTAAAGATATATTCTATCTGTAAATTATAGAAACCATGAAATTTGGAGAGTACCAATTTGGAAAATAGGTTTGACAATTTGGATAATAATCTTATAAAACCTACCAGAGGAAAATTTTCATTGAATATAGTGGAACTAGTATCTGAGTAATCCTGGATAATGGAAAATATTGGATAATTAATTGTAAAAACTTGTAACACAATTATTCCAATTAATTTTCCAATTTGTAGCAAAAAGAAATAACATAAAATAGTATGACATTAATTTTCTACATGAAATGAAAGATTCAAATTTTATCTCTGTCTTTCTCTATATCTATGTATTTATAGCATATTAATACCCATTGAAAAACAAAATAAAACAATAACATAGGAGGCATTTTACAAGAAAAGATGCTCCATAATTAGGATGTAGTTTTCCAAAAAGTCTTAGAATGCAGTATTGCAGGCTAATTCTGCTTAGTGCCAGGGGTTCAATCCTCACCAGCTCAAGATTCACTCAGCCTTCCATCCTTCCGAAGTCAGTAAAATGAGGGTCCAGATTGTTGGGGGCAAAGTGCTTGGAGAATGCTGTAAAGCACTGTGAAATGGTACATAAATCTATGTGCTTTTGCTATTGCTTCAATAGACAATTGCTTCTCTTATAAATAGAAAGAACATACTCTTTAAAAGATTATGATGTATAGGGAAATTGACACAGAAAGAATAATCTCTAAACCTTTTTTCACTTTTCATGGTTTCTATGAATGATATTAACCAATAGTGTGGTTGTTTCAGAACAATATGATTTTTGGACAAGTACCTACCAATACATATAATTAATTAATAATTAAATTTAGTTTTAATAAAATTATTATTTTTTTATTATTGCATTTATATGCTGCCTATCTCGTGGTTCAAGGCTACTCTGAGCAGTTTCTTTATTGCCACATTACAGCCTATATGTAAATATATATAAAATGTAAATAAGGCAGCAGATAACAAGAATTAAATTTGATCACTCAAGACCCAAATTTATTAGAATACCAGTAATACCAACTACTACTGACCATAGTTGCTTGGAGACCCAAAGAATTACTCACATCAATTGACTTTATTTTTCAAATACACATTTTATGAACCATCTAGAAATACTTTCACATCACTTTCATGGATATATATGTGACTTCTCAGTTTACTTCAAAGACAGGATTTATTTCTGTGAGATAAATGATAAAAATCATTGTGCCCAATCTTCCAGGTAGAGATCCTGAATCAAATTAGTAACATCATATTAAAAAGGATGATAGGAATTCCCTTAGTTGGAAATATGACAAACCAGATTCTATAATCAACTTTCAGCATGTTTTTGCCAGTCTACCTTTCCAACATGAGTAATGAGAGATGGACATGGTTGAGAGATGGTTTCTAGGATGCTCCAACCTTCTTGGAAAATCTGAGAAAGCTGGAAAAAATAAAGATCTTTCTCAGTATAAATAATCAAAGAGATTTCAGTCCCTGTGCTTTGGATGAGAAATGTGCTATGAAGAAGAGTTGGTTGTTACTGCAACTGTACAAAAATGAGGAACAAAAACAGATCTTTCTGCATTTGCTTGGGCAAAGAGATTTAGCAAGGAGGGGAGAGAGCACTATTTCTGTTGTTAATAGAACTGGTGTAGAGTTAGCTAATAGCAATCTTTCTGAAGGCTTCTGAAATAGTATATATTTATTTTCACTGTCAATTTTTATTATCTTCCATATTTTCTTCCTGTGTGGTTCTTTGTAAAATGCTCATTTTAGAAACAACTTATCATTGCATTCAATTCAATTTAATTCAGTTCAATTGAACCAAATTCATTCTCTTTATTAAACAATGTCTGTGTGTAATGTGTCTATGTCTGAATGTATATGAGTTTATATGTATATCACACATACACATATACACATACATATATATACATGCATAATACACCACGTGCATACATATATATTCTCATTTGATCCTGAGTTAATTTTAATCTACTTTTTCTATTTCTTCATTTCAATCTTTTTTTCATTATAGATTCTTATTTTTTTCTTTAATGCCTCATTATTTTTAATTGCATTATTCATTAGTTATTCCATTCATTGCAAATTATTAACTTCCTTTTTGCATGAATAAACATGAGGATAATGTTGATGAATCTACCTTTTTTATTTATCACTGTAAATAGAATTCTTTCATTCATTCCATTTTGGTCCAATAGGCAAGTATGTATGAATGTCTATTATTGCCACAACAAACATCCACTCATCTCATTTCATTAGCCTTATCTCAGCTAAGTATTCTAAGTATGCTTTTAAGTATTCAAATATTCATTAGTGTTCTGACAAGAGAAATCAGGGATGCTCATGGAAGGGACACATCTTAGTTGCGTAATAAGTAAAAATGTTTATTAGTCATTAGCATACATTAAAAGCAATTTCAGCAAGCCTCAGAAAAAAATCATCTGACAAGAATGGGTCTCCAATTTTCTCAACCAATGCTTATAAAACAATCAAATCAGATTATCTCCTTCACAAAATGGCACAAATTGACTTCTGCGGCAGATTTTTGGCATGAAGTGGCTTTAACAATACTGCAATTCAATTTCTAGCCTGAATACATGGGTGTGTTAGAGTGGCCATGTTCTAGATGGACACCATAATTCAAAACTATATATTTGTAATTCATTTATGCAATCTTTCTAATTCTTGTTATGTTGCAGGACCTATTTCTCATGCCATGAATCTGGATAATGAGGAATATATCAAAAGTAAATAAGCCTATGTCAATTATGGAAATGAAGATATGCTCACTATCAAGAAAGGAAACCAAACAATGATGTCAGAATTCATCCTTGTGGGATTTGGAATTCTCCCAGAGTTGCAGCCTCTTCTTTCCTTTTTTCTTCTTGATGATATGTCTTGCAACAATAACTGGAAATCTCCTCATTATATTCTTAGTGATAGCTGACCACCATCTTCACTCCCCCATGTCCTTTTTCCTGGGGAATCTGTGCTGCCTGGAGACCTGTTATAGTTCAATCATTTTACCAAAAATGTTGGCCAATTTGTTTACTGGTCAACAGTCCATTTATTTTACTGGATGCATGATCCAATTCTTTTTCTTTTTTTTAGTTCTTGTGCTGGTACAGAGACTTATCTCCTGGCTATCATGTCCTATGACTGATATCTGGCAATATGTAGATCTCTGCATTATTCTTCCATCATGCATAGGAATATAGGTGCCCAGATGCTGATGGGATTGTGGATTGCTTCTTTTCTAGCTGGTTGCCTAACAGTGTCTCTTTTGGCTCAGTTATCATTCTGTGGCTCCAATGTCATAAATTACTACTTTTGTGATTTGATTCCACTTGAAAAACTGTCATGTAGTGATACAAACCAGATTGAATTTGTAACCCTTTGCATTAGTTTCATTTTCATTGTCATCCCATTTCTACTAACCCTAATATCCTATATTTGCATCATTGTCATAATTCTAAAATATCTTCTGCTATCGGAAGACAAAAGGACTTTTCAACCTGTTCTTCTCATCTCATGGTGATTTGCCTTTTTAATGGTACACTAATAATTGTCTACATTTTGCCAGATACATCCAGTATGAGGAAACTGAATATTTTTTTCCATTTTCTGCACTGTATTGACTCCTCTAATCAACCCTTTGATCTACGGTTTAAGAAACCAAGAAGTCCACAAAGCCCTAATGAAAATTAAAAACAAAGTGATATATTTTGTAAAGATGCAAATTAATATATGATCATAACTTATTAAACAACTGTTTCTTCCTTTTATACTGCCTAGATGCTGAACTGTGGCATTTTTCTTCCTCAACAGAAAAATATTGTGCCTGAATGACCTAATATTCCATTATGCAAGATTTTCTTCCAAGTCCCACTTTTATATTAAAAACCTTTAATAACTGTTATGTACAAAGTATCATATCAAATAATATATCTTCTGTAATACTTCTTCTGATGTATGCTTTACTTAACATAATGTGCTTCTTTCCCTCCATCTTGAGATTGACAAAAATATTGTAAAATGTTTTTGTGTACATTTTGGTTGTGGACATCCAAAATTAATAGATATTTTATATTATATTTTTAAAACATCACTAGATATTTGGCATAGACAGTGAATACAGACAATTACTTGTTCCAGTAATATGTAGTTATTATTATGTGAATGATGAATTGATCTAGAGCCATTTCTCACATATGAAAGAGTGAGTCAACAGGAAGGAGAAGACAATGGAGCTGTTAAGTTTCTCCAAAAGAGGAAAGTATGAAGTTTATATAAGTTTATACAATGAGGATAGTATAGAAAACATTATGGACATTATTATGGACATGATGGATGATTTGGATAGATAGATAGATAGATAGATAGATAGATAGATAGATAGATAGATAGATAGAGACAGATACACATATATACCCATTTATGTGTATGTATATAAAATGTTTGTGTGTATATATAAAATGCACATACACATACATACATACACTAAATTTAGTTATATTTTCTTTCTTTTTATCTTTTCTTGTCTTTGGCTTACTATTTATTACTTATTGTTCTGGACTCTGTATAATATTTTCTCTCCAGAAGGGAATAGTGTGATGAATAGGTAGGTATGAATGTAGAAAAATCACCCTGCCAAAGATTTATGCTATGTTTTATCTAGAAAAAGTGAATTTTAGCATGTTCTTGAAGATTGCATTACATCAGAACAGTTTGTCCAAGAGTCAGCCAGCAACAAATCCCTAGGCTCATGTGACATATTTTAATTATCCAATAATTAAAAAATAATAATATAACATAATGCTCATGCAAGCCCAAATATTATTACCCTGGATCACCAACTAGTGTAAAAAGAATGCTTTAACAGCACTTGGACACAACATTCTGAGAATGGTTTACTGCTATCTTTTGTTGTTAATGGCACACTCTAGAACAGCTCTGATATAACATGGAACAACTACAGGTGAGAGCTAGCCTCATATGTTGGCTTTATTTGTTTCCAGGATAATCATTCTATACTAACTAGAAACAACTGTTTCAACAAAGTAATAACTTTGTCCTGGGCTGTAAATGGTATCTATCTTTGTACTCCATATTCACCAGTCTATTTCCATTAAAAACAAAACTCATTTTCATCCTTTTCCCAAATTCCAACACTTAACTTTATCTTTGGAAAACTATCCAAAGCAGAGCATCCAGATTCAGTCACAGTTTTGTTCCATACAGTATTAATCTTGTGAGCTCTAAAACTTCCTCCTTCCTTATGTCTTCAAGATAGACAGCAATTAATATTTATATGTTACTTATATGTAAGGGTGTAGGTCTATACATATGTTGTATATCGTGTGTTTAAATGTGTGTTATGTATGTGTACCCTTTAGAGCAAGCAACTAAATTTCATGTTTAATGTTTGCCATTGTGCTCACAGTAAAAATGACAGTAAGGGTTATCTATCTATCTATCTATCTATCTATCTATCTATCTATCTACCTACCTACCTACCTACCTACCTACCTACCTACCTATCCAGCTATATTTGATTGCCATATTTATTTTGTGCCATTTTTATATTATGGTGCTCAGTAAAGATTAGAGACATTTCTTTTAAGTACAATGGCAATTATTCAGCAGTCTGGTAGCACCTTTTACAACCTATAATATTAAAATTTAAAAGGCATAAGTTTTCATTAGTTGCAGCTTTCTTCATTAGTTGTATCTGATAAATTTGTTAGTAGGAAAAAATGCTATCAGATTCATGATATTTTTTGGCCATCAACCTAACTCCTCTCCTGCACTGTTAATTTTTTTTCACTAATTATAGATTTAGAAAAGATGGACAGATAATTTAAATGATAATCCTTACTATGTGTATGCCTTTTAATATGACAATTTCGTTGAATACATTAATATCTCAATAATTCTAAGTCATGGGATTGATTGCAGTATTAATTTTTAAGAACTTGAAATCCCTTTCTTTTAATGCATTTCTTTTTACTTAGGGTAGAAAGCAACAATTTAAAAAAAGGAAAGAAAGAACAGATGAAATAATTCTAAATTTAATTTCAGTAAATAAAATATTCACTACCAAAAAACTGTTATATAGGAACAAAAAAGCCAAGAATAGAACAATAACAAAGAAAGCATTTCACAGAGAAAGATGTACATTCTTAATATGTGACCATCAAAAATATTTTTTTCTCTCTGCAGCACAAACAGTTTTTCTTAGGAATAGGCAACATAGAGAAAACATATTTTTAAAAGATTTTAAAAGGGTTAGCTGATCAGAACAGTAGGTGATGAAGGCTATTTAGCAACTTCAGGGTATCATTTAATTATGTCCAGTAGTATATTGACTAGCAGTATTGTTGTTTCAGACCAGAAATATGATTCCACAAACAGATATAAGTCAGGAAATATAAGAAAGAGACATGATTTTTTCCAGAGCTGGACTTCGTTGAATATTTGTCTACTGCTAGAAATAAATAATATTTATATCCAACTGATTGATTTCACTGACCCACACATTCACCCACTCATACATTTATACATATATAACACATGTATTTTTACTTGATCCTGTTCCATTCATTTCATATTCATTTTTTTAGTCTTCATTGCCTTTTATTTATTACTTCACTGTTGTTGTTGTTTTCACAAATAATTTGCTATCTTTTCTTTAAAGTCAGGGTTTTCAATTGCAATTTTCTTTAATCACTCCATTTCAATAATTTATTGACACTGTTTTATGCATAAATTTGAGGAATATATTGATATCACTCTCCCTTTTTCCTATCTTTTAAATCTAAAATTACAAGTCTGTCCTCTACTCTAGTTGGGCCAAAATTATATATGAATGTTTATTACTAGTATAGTAAACAATATCTATTAATCTTTCCTTATTAGAACAAAGCTTATTCAGTGGTTTTTGTATTAGATATTCACAAATATGCTATCTGGAGAGATCAGGAATAATCACTGTTTGGACACATATCACTTGTATTGTATCAGAAAAGTTTGCTTGAATCTTGGTGATGCAAAGAAAGCGATCTCAGCAAGTTTACATGGAAAATTCTCTGGACTCTGGACTGCTTCAATAAATGCTTCTGGTCAAGGTTTGCTATTCCCTCCGCAGAATAATTTTGCATCTCAAATTTTATTCATGAAATGACTTCATAGGATAAAATTCCACAGGATGATATTGGGCTAAAGTGGATTTTAATGAGATAACGTGACCCAAAACTATCATTGCATTTCATATTTGCCATCAATTTGATTATTATGTTGTAGGACTGGTATGACATGCCATTAATTTGATTAATGAGGAATGCACATAAAGTAAATAAGATTCATTATACTTTGCAAAACATATTATTTTAAATGCAACTTTATTTTTTGTAGCTGTGACCAACTATATTTTTTGAACAAAGTGTAATAGATGCAATTCTCCCAAATATGTGCTCTCTACATTCCCCCCCCCCCCCGGTCTGGGGATATATATCATATGTAAATAGTGATAGCTGTAAATGTTTATTGCTGCTCATTTTGCCAGAAAACATATTATTTTGGCAGGTCACTTTATTCTAATTGAATTGATATCTCCCCCCTTAAATACACATTCTGAGATGAAAGCAGTGAACATTATCAGATGTAGGAGGAGGGGTAGAGCCAGAGGACAGAGTTAAAAAAGGGATGAGCCTTAAATCTCTATGTAGCCAAAGTGGACTAAGTCTAACCCACACATGACTTCTCCCCTAGACCATTATCTAACTCCAAGTACTAATGGATAGTTGAGAATATTTCTGTGCAAAGGGTATTTATCAACAAATCAGTTTAATTGGATCTTCACATATAGACCTAGCCTATCATACCTGACATCAGAATATTGTTTATTTCCCTTAATGTTATAGAATATGTGACATTGTTTGTTATGATGTGGTTAATATGTTTAGAAATACAACATCTGTTTTTTATGCTGTTTAGATATGCCAACCAGGTATTCAAGAAATGTATGTCAACTTTTACCACAATCATCAGATAGAAGAAAAGAAGGAAAAATGAGGCTACTGAAGTTCTTCAAATTGTTTTTCAGAAGGGAAAATAGGGAAGAATGGAAATAAATCAGTCAAGTGTAACAACATTCATTCTTTTAGGATTTAGCAAACTTCCCCAAATAGGAATACTACTCTTTACACTGTTTTTTCTTATATACAGTTTGTCTATTGTGGGGAACCTACTTATTGTTCTACTTGTTGTAGCTGACCATCGTCTTCATACCCCCATGTACTTCTTCCTTGTAAATTTGTCTTGTTTGGAGACATGTTATATTTCAACCATCCTGCCCAGAATGCTGGCTAGTTTTGTAACTGAGGATAAATCTATATCTGTCTATGGGTGTATGACACAATACTACTTCTTTGGTTTTTTAGCATCCACCGAATGTTATCTTCTGGCAATGATGTCTTATGATCGATATTTAGCAATCTGCAAACCTCTGCATTATGCATCTTTCATGAATGGTAAACTCTGTCTCCAGTTAGCCCTCACATCTTGGATAAGTGGTTTGTTGACCAACACTGTCGTAACTGCTTTTCTGTTACAATTAAATTTTTGTGGACCCAATGAAATTGACCATTTCTTTTGTGATGTGTATCCAGTGGCAAATCTTTCCTGTAGCAATACACACCTAGTGAAACTTTCTACTTTTATTCTAGGATTCATGAGTATAGGGATCCCATTTCTCCTAACAATGACCTCCTACATCTATATACTTTATACTGTGTGGCAAATGAAATCTAAAAAAGCACAACAGAAGGCCTTCTCTACCTGTTCTTCTCATCTCACGGTAGTTTCATTTTTCTTTGTTTCACTATTGCTTGTCTATGTTGTTCCTGAAACAGAAAGACTGAAGGAGCTACATAAAATCTTTTCTCTTTTCTACACTGTCCTGACTCCAACAGTCAACCCCATCATCTACAGTTTGAGAAACAGAGAAGTTAAGGAAGCCTTCTTTAAAATTGTTAGAAAATACAGCAATATAGTTTTATAGTATCATAACTTTTCAATGAATGTGGTAAAGTAGAATTAAAGATAGGAAGTATATAACAGATTTTGGTGCTATGCAGACTAATGTAAAGTATGCATGACATACTTTCATGTATGATAGATTTTTCACCTTATGTTGCCTTACATATTATTTTAATATTTAAAATAGTGTTTCTGCCACTTTGTTTCAAAACAGTTCATGGCCCTGTATAGTCCTAGTATAAATTTCATAATTTGTTTCAAAAGTGTCCATTACTACCCATTTTTACAAAAGTGCCATTATATGGCCCATCATGGGGGGGAGTAAAAATATTTGGGCATATGATTGTAGTTTATATTACTACTATAACTACTGTGATATTGATTTATTTCCTGTATTATTTTCTATTGTATGTTCCCTTTGTAATATGTTTAGATTTGGTTTTTGATGGAAATGATACAAAACACTTATAAAGAAAGAAAGAAAATGGCAGGGAACATTTTAGTTCCTGGTAAATTGTTTGGCTGTATCTGATCCTAGCCACCCTGGCAGCCATTTTATGAACCACCACATTCCCGAATTGCAATTACATAAAGTACTCAAAATATTTTCACAGAATTACTAATATGCTTGCTAGTTCAAATGCTTCTAAAAAGGCATGTAGTGTATTGGATCAAGAAACCCATTTTAAATATAACTTTATTACAATCATGCACTTGAGATGGAAACCCATATGAATTTAATAAATAAATAAATATTTTTATTTTAATTATAATTATTTTTGTTTCTATGTATTCATTTATTTCCATCCACACTAAATAACAAAATTTAAAGTAAGGCTTACATATGTAATAATACATATATGTAAGAGGAAGAAACCTTATAAAATTAATGAGATATTGGATATACCAAAGGTTTTCTATAAGTTCAGGCTACAGATTTAAAAAAAAAATCTATTTGTTTCAAAACACCCTTCTATTAGTCATTTACTTAGGAAATTTTGAAGCTAAAATAGTAGAAAAATAAATGAATGAAATCTATTGTTCTAACATAAATGTTAAATCGTTTGTTTAACTTCCTTTCTGTTTACTATGATATGGCAGTCTAGCATCTTTTTGAATTTATTGCTGATGATTGCTTCTAGAATAGGAATATTCTAGAATATTTTATTTATTTATTAAACTCATTATCATGTGACTGGCTGTTTTAAATAAGAATATGATAATCTTATTCTAGGACCGTGTTATTTATTCCATTTATATTTGAATAAAGCCCTAGACTTTTCATCACAGCTATCTCTTGTCCATGATTCCCAAATCTCATCATTGATTAGATGAAAGACTCTAGAAAGAGTATAGAGAAGAGCAACAAAGATGATCAGAGGACTGGAGGCTAAACCATATAAGGAACAGCTGCTGGAGTTGGGTATGTCTAGATTAATGAAAAGAAGGACTAGGGGTGACAATATTCCAATATCTCAGGGGTTGCAACATAGAAGAGGGAGTCAAGGGCTTCCAGTTCTGCACTGATTTCTTTTTGTTTGGGGACCCTAAATGGGCCCAAAGTCACCCTGGAGAAGTGGCAAAGAAGGAGGGAAGCCCTGCAGATCCTAGGGAGATGGGTTGATCCGGACATCTGGGGAAAGCTCTCCAAAAACTGACAGGAGAAAGGCTAGTGTCATTTGTGAGTCTAGCCCAAGCTACATGCAGCGGAAGCCAAAAAGCACTCAACTAAGCGTGATTGTAAACAGTGTGAGTGAATTGGGTAAGAATATTGATTTTCTCTCTTCTACCTGATTGATTTCCTGAGAAAAAAAGAAAAAAACTCAGAAGTAAAAATCATCCAAAAGTGAGGGGGGATCTTTGTTCCACCCTCCTCTAAATGGAAGCAGCGAATTACGTTTACAGGGGGGGGGGAAATACAAAAAATTGAAAGATGGACTGGTGCTGACATCTAGTGGTGGATGAAAATACTGCCCTAAGTATACAGCCCAGAAAGAAAAGCCTGTTGTCATGACCTTCAGGGCTTTGATTACACAAAGAGCAGCTGTAACAAAAGAAAAGAAAACATTGTGGACTATCTACAAAGTGAGAATTATAAAACTTAGAAAAAATTGACTTCCCTGGATTATAAATATTTTTTTAATTGCGAATTTAAAGTGATTGGCAGAGAAAGGATATTTGGTCATTATGAAGCATCAGAGATCTACAGAAAGAACAAACCAAGAAAAAATAAATACTTACCAGGAGGAAATATATATTCTGTTACAACAAATGCAAATGATATTAACTTCAACCATGAGGAAATTAAAAATGAATTTGAAAATTTAAATGAATGCATTCTCAATTTAATGTCACATGATCAGAAAAAGAGAGATCTGAATATAAGCTGGTGGAGACTCAAGTGGAGAATGACTTACAAGAAACATTGAACATGGAAAAGATAACTTGTACTCTAAGACCACAAAGTAACTTTGGGGATAAGGAAAAAGATTTGACAAAATGGATTGCTGAGCTGTTGGGAGTACCACAAGAAACGGGGAGACAAGGGATGATGAGAGAAATCTTCAATAAATATGAAGGGGCAAAATCTTTTTACAAAGACACAATATTTCATTTGCCTACTATATCTACAACAACATTTACAAGATTATGGAAAGACTCTTTGATGCAACGGAATATATTGATTGGGAAAGATGCTTGGCAAAAGAAGAGGGCAAAAGTGAGAATTGAGGAATTAGATGATGGGGTGTATCAGAGGGAATATTTAAAAATTAAACACTTGTTTGAATATGGCTGAAGAAATAGAAAGATTTTAGTTTAAGAGGGATAAACCCTCCAAGTAAGACAGTATTTTCCTTTTTTTTTCTTTTTTTTTCGATATGAGAACTATAAAAATGTGTGGGATGATCAACATAAAGGAAATGTTTTAGATATTTAAATGTAATTGATTTTAAGAAAATTCCAATGGATAACTAAAAATGGGGAAAATGTTTTGAATAGAGTTAAAAGATTATATGATTGGATTTAATTATGGTTAAAGAAAACAGAAAAAAAATTGGAAATAAGTGTTTACTAGTTCAAAAGGGATATGTATTTTAAGTAGTATATTATTTTCTTACTTTTTTCTCCTTTTTCTCTCCTTTTTTCTTTTTCTCTCTCATGTCTTTTCTTTTTCTATGTCTTTCTTTTGTGTCTTTTTCTTACTTATTTTTTAAGACATGAAAATAGATTTAAATACTTTAAGGTAATTAATTCTGGGAAAATTTTAACCAGTAGAAATGTTTTGAACATTGTAGGGAAAATAAATTTAAACAAGAATTGTAAACAGGATTTATAACGAGGCAACCAAGATGACCAGATAGAAATGAAGCATGATATTGATGTGATTATTATTGGTAGAAATGTTAGAAAAAATCTTTATATTTAATTGTTACCTATCAAATTAATAAGAATTGTATTAATTTAAGGTTGCAAAGAGAATATTATTGGAAGAAAAGAAAATCAAGCAAAGCTATATGTGGATTTTGGAATATAGAAACTAACCATTAGTGATTACTTTGTAAATATAAACCCAGACAACATGTGTAAGAACGTCCTAATTGTGGTCAAGGGAACCAAAACACTAGGCACGTTGCAGTATCCAACAAAGGTTTTATTTCGCTACGTTGAAAATAAAGTCAGCCCTGGGAGGACTCCTGTCCCAGCGTCCTAAATACATCCCATCACCACACCCACAAGACACACCCCAATTACCCCAATCACCATGTATAACTCCACCCACACCACACCCCATTCCTCCCAGCATCCCCATTCCCCAAACTCTGTCAGACCCAGCATCCCGGCTTCCCAGTTTAAGCGTCTTTCGCTGCCTTCAATGTCTTTCCATGCACTAGCCCGATACGGTTCTCTCCGCGCCACGCCCCGCTCTCCACGTTAGCTGGTCACGTGGTTTGAGGCTCGTCAGTGTAGGGGCATGAGCAACCCTCCGAGGATGGCAACGGCGGCGCAGCTTGCAGCGTCACTGAGGCTGCCTGGCGGTGCATGCATTTGTCCTCTTAAGCAGCGTTGTACTACAGACAGGTAGGTTGCACGCTGGGTCTGACATTCGGCCTCCCCTCACCACAGGGCCCCCTGAAATAGAACATCACAGGTCAATATATCGTTTGGGCAATGCAGATGATATATTACTCACCCCCCCCCCCGGTCCTTGGCCTATGGGGCCATGCCTTATGATACCGACGGATTAGATCAGGGGTGAAGACATTCTCCCTCCGCACCCAAGAGGCATCGGACAAGGGATACCCCTTCCACAATACCAGGTAATACACTTTACCCCCCCCGACCACCATCGTGAGTCCAATATGTCCTGTATTTCATACCGTCCCGGAGTTATAGGTCCTGGAGGGTTCTTATAACTGTCCCTTCCTATCGGCCTTAATAAACTCACGTGGAAGACCAGATGTATCCTACCAAGGAAGTTCGGCAATTGGAGTTTCACCGTAACAGGGTTGACGATGCGTACTATGCGGAAAGGCCCAATGTATTTTGGCGCCAACTTCTTGCATGGCACCTGTAACTTAAGATATTTGGTCGAGAGATATACCTGATCACCCACCCGTAACGAAACTGGCACTCTACGACTCTTGTCAGCCTGATCTTTTGCTGCCTGTTCAGCTTGATTCAGCGCCTTCTTTACCATATCCCACACCTGGCTAGCGCGGGATAACCAGTCCCCTGGCTGATGGGCCAGGGACTTCTGTGATTCACAACCGGGCAAGGGGATCAGGTCATATCCATAGATCATTTGAAAGGGGGTTAACCCGTGCTTTTATGTACTGCGTTGTTATAAGCTAGCTCTGCGAAGGGTACAAAATCTATCCAATCCGACTGTTGGTAGGACACATAACATCGTAGATATCGTGAAACGGCCGCATTGGCTCGTTCCGCCGCCCCATTGGTACAAGGATGGTATGCGGAGCTCAACCCTTGTGTGGTTCCAATGCTGGCAAGGAACCGGCGCCAAAATTGAGCCGTGAATTGAACCCCATGATCTGAGATGATTCGCCGGGGAGCTCCATGTAGTCGGTAAATGTGTTGCACGAATAGTTTTGCTAACTGTGCCGCAGAGGGCAGTCCTTTGCAGGGTATAAAGTGAGCCTGCTTCGAAAATAAATCAATCACCGTCCATATGACCGTGTAACCCCTTACATTTGATAAATCCACGATGAAATCCATGCCAATGTCCTGCCATGGCCGAGCTGGGTCAGACACCGGTTGTAGCAATCCCATCGGCCTTTTCGGTATCACCTTCACCTGTGCGCAGACTTGACATCTTTTTACATATGCTTCAATATCTTTCCTCAAGCTCGGCCACCAGAATTGTCGTCTCGCCAAGTGTAACGTCTTCACGAATCCGAAGTGGCCTGCTACTTTGGAATCATGACATTGATGGTATACCCGACTACACACTTCCTGGGGAATATATAATTTATCTCCATACCAGGCCAAACCATTACGACGGGTCAACATTCCGGGATTCGCTAATAGCCAAGGATCAGTCAACAATGCTGATTGTATTTCCTCTTCAAATGCTATCAGTTTTGCGCATGCATCCACCCGTGCGGAATCCCTATTACATGGAGGTATAACGGCCTGGACCACTTGTTCCCTCTTGCTGTCGTATTGTGGCATTCGGGAAAGTGCGTCTGCTAGGAAATTCTTTCCTCCCGGGACAACTTTCAGACGGAACCTGAAACGTTGAAAATATTGCGCCCATTGGACGTGTTTAGGCGCCAGTTTCCTTGGTGTTTGGAGAACCGCTAGGTTCTGGTGGTCCGCCCAGACCTCGAAGGAGTGCTGTGCACCCTCCAACAAATGGCGCCAGGTGGACAACGCCCATTTCACGGCGAACGCCTCCTTTTCCCACACCGCCCAACATCGTTCTGTGTCGGTGAATTTTTGGGAGGTATAAGCGCATGGTCATAAATCGCCTCCCTCATTACGTTGCAATAAAATTGCTCCAACGGCTACATCACTGGCATCGGCCTGGACAATAAATGGCCGATCCGGGTCAGGATGTACCAACACCGGCTCCTGCGCAAATAATCTCTTTAGGGCTTCAAAGGCCTGTTGACAAACCACAGTCCAATCCAACGGTTGTTTTGGGTGGGGTTTTCCGGCGGTGTGCTTGGTGCGTAATAACTGGGTCAATGGTAGGACCACATCAGCGAAAGAAGGTATAAATTGGCAGTAGAAATTAGCAAACCCCAAGAACCGCTGTAGCTGGC